CGTACGTTCTGTTTTCTCCGATTTTGATGCTGTCAGTGAACTTATTCGATTTGATGACTTTGATATATTTGCTATCCGTGAAACTTGGCTTACAGATCTCATTCCGTCAGAGTCTGTCAGCATCGCTGGCTATAACTTTATCCGTAAAGACAGTGGATCACGTGGTGGTGGGATTGGTATTTATGTCAAATCTTTTTTAAATGTAGAGCAACTTGATGTGACAGTTAATAATCTTGAGTGCGTGGAGCACTTATGTATTAAGATTACATATAAAAAATCAATTTTTGTTGTATGTGTATTATATCGATCTCAATCCCAGAGCCTCAATGACTGCATTGCTATACTAGATGACACGGTGTCACACTACTCAAGCATTTTTCAAAACATTATTATATTGGGTGACGTTAATTGTAACGGTTTCACCGTCCGATCGTATTTATTAAATCACTTCTCGATTATCATTTCAGAATCGCAAATCATTAATCCCATCTCTAGCTTTTTTACTTGGAAAATTTTCCGCTTGGAGCGCTTGATGCGGAGTTCCTGATCTGCGATCTTCCTCGCGCTTCCTTTTCACTTGAGCCGCCGATCGAACAAGAGCTAAAAATTGTCTTCTCTGTAGCACAAGGTCATATAGCACCATGTACTAGAATTTTGTAGAATGTGTGTCCGTATAGGACAAAATGATTGGGGCCACCCCCCTTTCTCTTTCTCTTTCCCTTTCTCTTTCCCTTTCTCTTTCTTTTTCCCTTTCTCTTTCTCTTTTTCTTTCCCTTTCCCTTTGCCTTAGTCTTTGACTTTGCATTGCTTGGACTATCACTTCACCCATGCATGTGCCTTGGCAGCGCCATCGCCTTTAAGTTCAACTTCGCCTACAACTGGTTATGAAGCCACTATATGTGAGGTCACCCCTCACAACTGGGACCTCCACTTCAAGCACCTGGCCATCCTGGCTTCAGTCGAGTCAAAATGGACCAGCGAAAGATAAGTTGATAGTTTTATAGCAGCGCCAAAGATGTAAAACTTATTTTGTTCTTTTAAACTGTAAAATTGTAATGTAATGGAAATGCTTTTTTTTATTAAATAAAATCTGTTAAATTTTTGTGTTCTGTTTGTTCTTCTATCCTCTAGCCATGCCATGGTCGACACACAGCTACACGCCTGTAGATGTCTTCATGCCACCGACTGAGCTACCGGAAGCTAATGGTAACCCCCTTTCTGTGATTGTGCAGAAAAGTTGGAATCTTCATTGCATTCCATCTTTTCTGGACTTTTTGCGGAAAGGAAGCGTTACATAATGTCAACTTATTAGAATCTGAAAATCCCTTATCTGCATGTCTAGAGACTCATGGCTTCGCACAATTGGTTTCATCACCAACTAGGGTGGCAGCTAGCAGTAGAAGCCTCTTAGATCCAATATATGTAAATCAACCTGGATTAATAAATTGCCTTACTTTTGATGCTCATCATATATCTGACCACAAGATGGTCTCGTACACAATGCAGATTCATCCTTATCAAATGAAGAAGTACATATCGTTACGTGATTTCACTAATTTCGATGAGGCATTGTTTCTACGCGACCTTTATAATCTTCCATTTGATGATATATCCCATCTGCAGTCAATAGACGAAAAAGTAGAATTACTCAATAATTTGATAACTGAACTCTTCAATAAACATTCTCCGTCAAAACTTATACGAGTCAATAAACCTCACGCTCCATGGCTTACTTATGGGCTTAAGCAAATATTTAAAGAAAGAGATGCTGCTCTGTCTAACCATAAAGCCAAAAAAACTCGGGAAAGCTTCTGCTATTATAAGGAGTTGAATAATTTGGCTCTAGCTTCCTTGCGGCGTGAAAAAGCCGCTTATTTCTCACATGTTCAGAGAAGCAGGGAGTATAAAAAACCTGGGCTGCATTGAAGAGTATAAATCTTAATTCTTCTTCGAGACCTCTGATACCCGATACTCTCAATGATGCAAACTTGATCAATGGTTATTTCACAACTGTTTATGATGCGGGTGAGCTAGATGACGATACCTTTAATTTCTACAAACGTAACAGGTATAATCATAATTTTAAATTTTCGTTTAAAATCGTTGATCCCTATGCAATTTACAGAACCATCCAGCAGATTAAATCTGGTGCAAGGGGTTCTGATGGAATGAGTCTTGATATGTTAACTTTGTGTCTCTCTCGAGTTTTATTCCACGTTACACATATTTTGAATTTATGCTTGGAAATTGGTTATTTTCCACAAGCATGGAAACATGATTTAGTAATACCTGTTCCCAAAAAAGCCGGAAGCTCTCTCTGATTTGAGGCATATAAGCCTTCTGCCATTGTTATCGAAAGTTATGGAGAAATTAGCTCAGCAACAAATAATCGAGTATGTTGAATTATGCAGAATATTGCCAGAAAATCAATCGGGCGTCCGCAAATCTTACTCTACTACAACCGCTCCGCTTAATATAACATATAATATAATACGGGCTCCATTTTGGTCTCGATCGATTACTCTAAAGCATTCGACAAACTGAGTCATCAGCTGCTTCTTGCTAAATTGGAGTATTTACGTTTTGATAATATATCTATATCGTTTTTCACGGACTACTTAGCTAATCGGTCCCAATGTGTTGTCATTAATAATACTTTTTCTAACTCTACCAATATCATATCTGGTGTTCCAGAAGGATCTGTTTTGGGACCCTTGTTATTTCTAATATATATTGCAGACTTGCTTTCTGTAGTAGCCAACTCTACAATACAGTCATTCGCCGACGATACCCAGTTGCTCTATCATTTTGATCCACATGATCAACAAGCAGCCGTCGAGTTACAAGAGGATATTGATCTAGTTTATAGCTATTCTGTAAAGCACAATTTGATGATGAATTCCTCTAAATCCAAAATCATGTTATTCTGCTCTAATACTAAACTTGAGCGCGCCCTCCAAACATTTCAACCCAAAATTGGATCAGATAGAGTAGAATTTAGTAATGAATCTAAAATACTTGGTGTCATTTTAGATATTAACTTAAGATTCAAAGGTCATGTTTCTAGCATATTACAAAAATCCTATTGGAAATTACGTGTTTTATATGCAAATAGACGTGTTCTGCCTTCTGCTTTGCGAAAAAAACTTGCTGAATCCCTTATTCTTCCAATTATCAATTATTCTTTACCAGCCTTGCTTGGATCAGCTCACTAAAAAAGTTTAGAAGTGATTCAAAACAACTGCCTCAGATTCACGTGTAGTTTAAGAAAATACGACCATGTTAGCCATGCTTACAACAGTATTGGATGGATGAAGCTCGAGTGTTTGACAAATTTTCATTATTTGGTCTTCCTTCATAAGCTGCTCGCATCTGGTAAACTCAAATACCTAAGAGAAAAACTTATTTTTTCTAATGAAATACATAACAAAACTCTTAGATATACATTAAATATTAGAATACCCCATTACGTCACCTCGCTTTTCCGACGCTCATTTTCCTATAATGCTGCTAGTCGCTACAATAATATTCCTGATGATTACAAAACCATAAATCTGTCTTGTTTCCGTAAGCATGTTAGGTTATATTTACAGAGCTCTGCATTATAATGTTTCTTCTTTTTCTAATTGTAACAGCCAAACTTTTTTTTGTACCTCCTATACCATCTTTTTTTTCGTATTGATATGGTTAAGTGTAAGAGTAGCTTTAGCTAAACTTCGCCATAATAAATCGCACTCTGTATCCTTGTAAATAAAGATGATATTATTATTAAATTGATCCTAAACAGATTCAACAGAATTCACAACTCAAAAATGTGTACGCTCAAAATAAAACCATTATTTAGGCGTAGAGAATAAACTAATGCATATTTTCAATATGCATCTTACTTCAAGAAACGTATTGGCAACGCGGCTTCGCTATCCAGCCGGCATCTATCACTGTCTAACATATGTGTCTATACATACTTCTCTCTCGTACATTTTGAACTCAAGCCTTCAGCCCAATTAGGTTCTCAGTGTATGCGGATTAATGAGATCCATAATGAGTGTGCTGTATGCGGCCTGGTTCGAAATGTTTCGTCTGTTGTATATTCGGCTAATTCTCAAAATGCTCTAAGTAGCTCGAAACTGAAACGGTCAAACCAAAAATATCAATCCGTGAAATCCGTTTCCTGTCTTCTGCCAGCAGACAAAATGCGCCCATCATGATTTTTTTGCCGTTGTTGTGAAGCTTCACCACTGTACGGCTTTTTAGTCATGGTTTCATTGGAAAAATCAAGATATAAATCACAGGGAGCAGGTGTAGATGAAAAGCATAAATTTTAATCGAGCGTATCAGTTATAGTTTTAATCCTTTAGTCAGATTTGAATAAAGCCGTCAGCACAACGGGGCGATATGCAAATAGCAAGGTTGCTGATATGAAAAATATTCTTTCAGCGTTCCTACCCTCGTTTGTATTTAGCAGGCATTGTAATAGATTCAGTTTTTAACCCGTAGAATACGAAGCCTATGGATCATATTAGATCATGCAAAATAAAGAATCAAACATGTAAATCTAATATGGATTGATCTTATAGGGGTTGCCTGGAGGGCTAGGGAGTGACCTGGTCTAAAAAAAATGACAGTTTTTAACATAATGGTTATTACGTCAACATACATGATTCTGTAGACGAAGCTTATTGTCTGAGGAGGCACAACCTTAATACCTATGTACCGGCTCTTTTAACCGCTTAACGATCTAGTTTTTTTTCAAAAATTGTAAAAAAAAATTATTTTTTTTAATTTCTTATTTTGAACTAAATCGAAAGTTATTTTATTTTCGAGAGTTAAAAATTAAATAAAACCCTGAATTTTTGTGAAACAACTTACATTTATTTTTATACATGTGCTTACCCGAGTTAACTCGCGCAACAAAAAAAAATATTTATTTGAGGAACAAACCTAAGGTAACACATCTGAAACTTAAAAATTATATGTAAGTAAGTAAAAAAAACATTTTTCTAAATATTTGCAACTGTGTGGTAAATCTTAAAGCATGGAGTCACACACAAGGGGGTTTCGCAATCTGCACAGTAATATCTGGTTTCTCTTCTAATTTTCTTTCCGCGTGCACCTTGAGCCCTGCTGCAAATTCCACATTGCCTGGTTGGATTTGTCTTTTTCTCAGTAGCTGGAATAAGATCTGGAAAATGTCGTCCTGTCAGATGAAGCGGAGTGAGCTGGGTTGAAGGTCGTCCTGTTCTTGGAGTAAACTCAGTTTGATGATATTTTTCCATTATTTGCTTTATAAGCTCCAATCGGTATACAAGTGCTGATTTTGTTCCGACCGATTTACATATATTATAAAAGAGTTCCATAGGGCTAAATCCTAAAGGTGGAAAAATATTTTTTTATAATATTTTTTACCTCTTTTTCTTGGTAAGGTATAGTCAGCCAAGTGCTGGTCCACTCGGTCCACTCCACCCATGGTATCGTTATAGTCCACAACCACTTTTGGTTTGATTTTTTCCCTTCGTGTTTCTACCTCGACACACTTGTTTGTATGATCAGTGGAAATAAGAGAGATGCCTTTTTTATCTTTCCACTTAATCAGAGACACTTTACCTCTTTGGAATCCAAATACTTCGCCCTTTTTCAATTTATTATCTTTCAACTCCCTAGGAACCTCCTTCCGTGAGAAATTTAATGTTCCATTTTGCTCAACAATAAATCCGCTATAATATATATATATATATATATATATATATATATATATATATAGTTGTGGAGAATTATAAAAATTATCCATAGTAATACAATAGCCCTTACTTAGCAGATCCCTAGACAGCATCATAACTACCTGCGATGAAACTGGAAGATCAACATACTCTTGCTCGAGATTTGTATGTTTTCCCGTATAAATAATAAAATTCCATGCATAGCCGCTTTTGAACTCACATAACATATATGTTTTGATGCCAAAACGTGCTCTCTTCAGAGGAATATATTGGATCCAGCCAAGTCTTCCTTTGTATAATGAAAAACTTTCGTCAATTGCCACATGTTTCTCTGGAGTATCTGTAGCTCGAAATTTATTCACTAACTTGTTGTATATCGGCCATATCTTATTTAGCTTTGGTTTTGGGTGGTGCTCAGCGTCAAAGGTCTCGTTATCAGCAAAATGTAACGGGTGATTTTTTAAGAGGTAGGTATAGGATTTGATTTTCAAAAAAAACACAAAAAATTTGAAAAAAAGATTAAATCTTTATTTGAGTCGATAGAACGGTCGATATAATTTAAGGTTTAAAGATTATTTCATGTAAATGTTGGCCGCGGCTTCGCTTTAGATGGCCCATGCGCAAGGTCCAATTTTGGCACACTCTCTCCAACATATCGGCCGGTATCTCACGAATGAATGCTTCAATATTGGCTTCCAGTGCGTCAATCGTTGCTGGTTTATCCCTGTAGACATTAGCCTTAACATGGCCCCACAAGAAATAGTCCAACGGCGTTAAATCACACGATCTAGGCGGCCAATTGACGGGCCCCAAACGTGAGATAAACTGTTCACCGAACTCGCCTCTCAATAGTGTGCCGTGTGGCATGTGGCACCGTCTTGTTGAAACCACATGTCAGCCAAGTCCAGCCCTTCCATTTTGGGCAAAAAAAGTTTGTTATCACCGCACGGTAGCGCTCGCCATTCACAGTTACGTTCCGGTCATTGTCGTCTTTGAAGAAGTACGGCCCGATGATGCCACCGGCCCATAATCCACACCAAACAGTGATTTTTTCGGGATGCATTGGTAGCTCTTGCAATGCTTCTGGCTGGTCTTCACTCCAGATGCGGCAATTTTGCTTGTTAACGTACCCATTCAACCAGAAATGAGCTTCGTCGCTGAACACAATTTTTCGATAAAAATGTGGACTTCCTCCAACTTTGCCAGCGCCCATTCACCAAATTGGAAACGTTGTGGGAGGTCGTGTGGCTTAAATTCTTACACCAGCTGTATCTTATAAGGTTTTACACCCAAATCCTGTCGCAAAATTTTCCACGTAGTGGAGTAACAGAGGCCCAATTGCTGCGAACGGCGGCGAATCGACATTTCACGGTCATCACTAACACTGGCGGATACAGCCGCAATATTTTCTTCAGTCCTCACTCTACGTCTGCGTGTTGGTGGTTTAATGTCCAGTAATGTAAATTGCCCATAAATTGGAAGCAGTGCTCGATGCACTCTCTTAACCGAGCATGAATTTTGATAGTAAAATTCAATAATTTGCAAGCGTTGTTCGTTCGTAAGTCGATTCATGGTTAAATTATAGACCAAACTGAACAAGTTTGACAATGACACAAGACACGATTCACGCGTCATCTGTCAAAAACAGTGTTGTCAAAAAGATACTAGCAAAAAAATCACCCATTAGATTTGACATGATTGCTTCAAATCTTTTATTGCTCAGGCATTTTGCAAAAAAAGGTGTCAGTAATAAAGGATTTTTAGACCAATATTGCCTCATTTCAGGTTTTTTTATAATACTTTGAAGAATTATAAGCCCCAAAAATACTCTATTTCACCAGCAGTTACTAGGAACCATTTTTTGAATTTCTTTTGAATCGCATAACGATTGGTTTCAGTAACAATGAGGTCGATTATCTCAGCATCAAAAAATTGTTAAAAAAATTGCAGTCAATTGTCCTCATAATTTGAGCGAAAATGAACACTAGGTCTGGCAGAAAATGGAAAAGCTCGTGGTTCCGGGGAATCAGGCCCTAACTCGCACCAATTACGCACAAGCAACACATTTTCAGAGTTAATAGAATCAGAACTCGTCGTTGAAACATCCAAACTTGTACCTGACCCACTCTCATCGACGACATCTTCGATATCAACCCCATCGAAACTTTCATCACTGTCACTCACCATCGTTCAGCGTACAATAAAACAAAACATAAAATGTGCGGCAATCAATAACCCTATTACAACCAAATACTAACTAACTACTAAATAACGCGGCTGTTTTGATGACATTCCCAATTTTTTAGTACATTTTATAATAAAACCACTATCACAACTCATAAATCTCTCATTTTGCTGCTGAGAGTTACCAAGTAGGCTGAAACAAGGTAAAGTTACACCAATTCTATAAAGGAGTAAAGGAGAAACTTGATATTGCAAACTACAGGTCAATCTCTAAGCCATCTGTGCTTCCTAAAGTGATTGAATATGCCTTTTTCGATATACTTTTTCTACATCTTAAGAACAATATTTTGTTTGCATGGTTTCATAGATCCACAATGTCAACAGTACCTTCCTAAGAAGTTTATCGAAGTGGACAAGTGTCCTACTGCCGTATTTTGTGATCTCAGTAAGACATTTGACTGTGTTGATCACAACAAATTCTTGGAAATTGTTAGTAAATACGGTTTCGTTAGTCAGCCTCGTAAATGGGACAGATCGTTTTTATTCCAAAGAAACCAATATGTTTTCATACAAGATCTTGATGCAGGGAACAGTATGAGAAACTTTGTGTCAGGTACGTAAGGCATTTCGATTGGAGTCCCCCAGGGTTCTATTCTTGAACCAATCTGTTTCCTCTTATATGTTAATATTCAACCAGATACTCATTTTACAGCATATGCTGATGACGTTTCTGCCATAGCCTCAAGTAATTCAGATACGATTTTGGAAACTAAATGTAACGACTTAATTAGGAAAATCAAGACGTGGGTTAACCATTACTCACATACTCACTATACTTGAATCCATCCAAAACAACGCTTATTCCGTTTCGTCATGCACAAAAAACTGTAGAATTCTAAAAGTTATATGCTGACCCAATTAAAAACCATATTAATAACTGAACAACTGATACAAGTTATTTTGCTAATGTTTATTCGAGATTAAGATATGGTATACAGGGTGTTAGGGAAATAATATTCGTAACTTTAAAAGGTGATTCCTTGCATTATCCTAAGCAAAAAAGTTCATTATAACTTGTCTCCGAAAATCAATCGTTTTCGAGAAACGTGAGTCGCAAATAATTAAATTTTCTCAAACGTTTGGCAACGCTGCAACGCAACCGCGCTTGGCAACGCTGTAACGCAACCGCGCTAGAGCGCAGGACGACCGCAACTAACTGACTCGTCGAATTATTTACATTTGTATGATATTTTTGTTGAAAATATGCCTTGAATAATTGAATACTTTTACGCAATTTTTTGTGGCTAATATTTTTTATTTAATAACGCTTTCAGTACAGTATATTTACTTAAAAAAATTGACAGAACTTACCGGTACGTGGCGATGCACACCACCAATTCCCACGATTATCAGCCACTTATTTGAAACGATACGATGCACGAAAAAAGAAAAAAAAACAACATCCGTAAATCACATAAAGTTACAGTTAAATGTATTAGTAATCACTATAGATATTCTTCGGTTTCCACTCCAACTTCACGATGTCTTCCGCGATTGTAAAAATTAGGCACTACGCTCCCTGCGTCCAGAAGTCTTTGACATACAAATGTTCTTCTAGCTGGTAGCCTTCGATCAGGAAAACGTTCTTCGTAAATGCGCCTAGCCTCTTCAGAATTGCAATGTGCCTCTCCGTAAATAATAAGCATATCGTGATACTCGCGAACCGAAAACATCTCTTTCGTATCAAAATGCACGCACTGATACAGTAATACATACCTACTGAATAATAAAATGTGATTTCAATTCGGATAAACATTACTGGCATTAACGTATGCAAGAAACTATCAAATAATTTTTTCCCGATGTAGGTATTTATTTTTTTGCCTACCGGCACGATGTCGCTCGCGATGATACATGCAGTGCAGGCGGAGTACGACGTTGCCAGTTGTGTGAGGGATTTTGTTTGTCTGCTTTTTTTTCAGAAAATTGTATTTAATAAGCAAGAAAATTATTTGGTTAGAGACAGTTAATTGATAAATAGATGAATTGATACATTTTACGCTAGGTTATAATGAACTTTTTTGCTTAGAATAATACAGGAATCACCTCTTAAAGTTACGAATATTATTTCCCTAACACCCTGTATATTTCTGGGGTTGGTCAACGCGCTCTGAAGATGTACTTGTGTCTCAAAAAAGATGCAACCGGTCATTGGCAGGGGTATCACCGACAGAAAGCTGCAAAAAAGATTTTATAAATTTAGAAATTTTAACTTGATATGTATGAATTGCGTTTACACGTTTTTAAAAATAATGATTCAAATCAAACCGTGAAATGCATGATTTTGATACAAGGCGTAGTAACCGCATATCTCGGCGTCCATACCGCAGACAGGCGTATCTGACAAAAAATCAAATTCGTGTTAACGGATTCAAATCAACAAGGTATAGCATACCTTCAATCCCGCAAAGTGGCATAACTCTAAGTAGTTCGCTCATAGAGATATCAGCATAAAACTAAACGTCGTATCTCTCAGAAATGAAATACAATACATCGCAAATAGGCGTAAATGAAGATACGCCTACATGCGGTATCCATTTTTTGCTACTCTCTCAGTGGTAACTAAGATATGTCCTTTTGACTTACAGGATGCATACGATGTTTTGTCCGAATTGAGTCACACCTCATCTGAAAGCGATCCCTTTGCTGAAGTCGAGATTTATAATCCGGAAGATCCGGACTATCATCAATCTGTGAAGTTAAAAGCTGTAAAGGAGATGTGTTCAGTTCGTGCTTTCAATGCTCAATTTTGCTATGTTGGAAGCATTTTGAAGATGATACCCTATCCTGCCAGGACGGACACAGGACAGTACAGAGCAGTGCACTTAGCAAAGAGAAACAGGAAGAGAGGCGCCCTGAAAATTTTTTTGTGGAAGGTTCCCAGGCAGAAGGTGATAGGAAAAAAAGTCAGAGAAGATAAAAGAAGAACTGCAAAAACGTTGAGGAATCAAGGCGAAACATATAACATATTTCGCCTGTAACTAAGAAAATTGTGAAGGAGAAAGCACTTAAGGGAATCTGCAATATAGAAATGTGTAAGAAAAGAAAAAGGATGTGTTATTTGTTCAGCAGTCCTTTAAGAACAATGATATTCTCACAGTTTTATAGTCTTGGTGACCTCCAACAACAAAGAGAGTATA